GGAGGCTGAGGCAGGATAATTGCCTGAACCCGGGAGGCGGAGGTTGCGGTGAGCCGAGATCGCGCCATTGCACTCCAGCCTGGGTAACAAGAGTGAAACTCTGTCTCAAAAAAAAAAAAAAAAAAAAAAAAAAGGTTGATACTGTAAAGCGCTTGTTGATTAAAAAATTACCTCCTGTTCTTGCTATTCAGCTAAAACGATTTGACTATGACTGGGAAAGAGAATGTGCAATCAAGTTCAATGATTATTTTGAAATTCCTCGAGAGCTAGACATGGAACCTTACACGGTTGCAGGTGTCGCAAAGCTGGAAGGAGATAATGTAAACCCAGAGAGTCAGTTGATACAACAGAGTGAGCAGTCTGAAAGTGAAACAGCAGGAAGCACAAAATACAGACTTGTGGGTGTGCTTGTGCACAGTGGTCAGGCGAGTGGGGGGCATTATTATTCTTACATCATCCAAAGGAATGATGGAGATGGTGAGAGAAATCGCTGGTATAAATTTGATGATGGTGATGTAACAGAATGTAAAATGGATGATGATGAGGAAATGAAAAACCAGTGTTTTGGTGGAGAGTACATGGGAGAAGTGTTTGATCACATGATGAAGCGTATGTCATACAGGCGCCAGAAAAGGTGGTGGAATGCTTATATACTTTTTTATGAACAAATGGACACAATAGACCAAGATGATGAGTTGATAAGATACATATCAGAGCTTGCTGTCACCACCAGACCTCATCAGATTATTATGCCGTCAGCCATTGAGAGAAGTGTGCGGAAACAGAATGTACAATTCATGCATAGCCGAATGCAGTACAGTTTGGAGTATTTTCAGTTTATGAAAAAACTGCTTACATGTAATGGCGTTTACTTAAACCCTCCTCCCGGGCAAGATCACCTGTTACCTGAAGCAGAAGAAATCACTATGATCAGTATTCAACTTGCTGCTAGGTTCCTCTTTACTACAGGATTTCACACAAAGAAAGTAGTCCGTGGCTCTGCCAGTGATTGGTATGATGCATTGTGTATTCTCCTTCGTCACAGCAAGAATGTACGTATTTGGTTTGTTCATAATGTCCTTTTTAATGTTTCAAATCGCTTCTCCGAATACCTTCTGGAGTGCCCTAGTGCAGAATTGAGGGGTGCATTTTCAAAACTTATAGCCTTTATTGCACATTTTTCCTTGCAAGATGGGCCATGTCCTTCACATTTTGCATCTCCTGGACCTTCTAGTCAGGCTTATGACAACTTAAGCTTGAGTGATCACTTACTGAGAGCAATACTAAATCTCTTGACGAGGGAAGTTTCAGAGCATGGGCGTCATTTACAGCAGTATTTCAACCTGTTTGTAATGTATGCCAATTTAGGTGTGGCAGAGAAGACACAGCTTCTGAAATTGAGTGTACCTGCTACCTTTATGCTTGTGTCTTTAGATGAAGGTCCAGGTCCTCCAATCAAATATCAGTATGCTGAATTAGGCAAATTATACTCAGTAGTGTCACAGCTGATCCGCTGTTGCAATGTCTCTTCAAGAATGCAGTCTTCAATCAATGGTAATCCTCCTCTTCCCAATCCTTTTGGTGACCCTAATTTATCACAACCTATAATGCCAATTCAGCAGAATGTGGCAGACATTTTATTTGTGAGAACAAGTTATGTGAAGAAAATCATTGAAGACTGCAGTAATTCAGAGGAAACTGTCAAATTGCTTCGTTTTTGCTGCTGGGAAAATCCTCAGTTCTCATCTACTGTCCTCAGTGAACTTCTCTGGCAGGTTGCATATTCCTATACCTATGAACTGTGGCCCTATCTGGATCTGCTTTTGCAAATCTTACTGATTGAAGACTCCTGGCAAACTCACAGAATCCATAATGCACTGAAAGGAATTCCAGATGACCGAGATGGGCTGTTTGACACAATCCAGCGCTCTAAGAATCACTATCAAAAAAGAGCATACCAGTGTATAAAATGTGCGGTAGCTCTATTTAGTAACTGTCCTGTTGCTTACCAAATCTTGCAGGGAAATGGAGATCTTAAAAGAAAGTGGACCTGGGTGGTGGAATGGCTTGGAGATGAACTTGAAAGAAGACCATATACTGGCAATCCTCAGTACACTTACAACACTTGGTCTCCCCCAGTGCAAAGCAATGAGACATCAAATGGTTATTTCTTGGAGAGATCACATAGTGCTAGGATGACACTTGCTAAAGCTTGTGAACTCTGTCCAGAGGAGGAGCCAGATGACCAAGATGCCCCAGATGAACATGAGTCGCCTCCACCTGAAGATGCCCCATTGTACCCCCATTCACCTGGATCTCAGTATCAACAGAATAATCATGTGCATGGACAGCCATATACAGGCCCAGCAGCACATCACATGAACAACCCTCAGAGAACTGGCCAACGAGCACAAGAAAATTATGAAGGCAGTGAAGAAGTATCCCCACCTCAAACCAAGGATCAATGAAATGCACATAATTAACTGGTTCCATCAAGACTGTGCACCCAGGCCTTACAGTCCAAACTTTTTCTGTGTCTGGCTAATATTTAAAACTAGAAAAACTACTCCTAATCAACATGGAGTGGAGAGTTTATTCACTGTCTTATCTGCAGAAACTTGCTGTCAATATATAACCCGCCTGCAGTGGAAAGTGTATAGTGTTTTGTAATAAATGGCCTGATGCTAATGTGTAAATGGCAAAGGTGTATATAGTATATTAATGTTGACTGTTAATTCTTAAGCAAGAAACTTTTTTCTTGTTGAGACTCACAGATCTACAAAAACTACAAAAGTTAATTTTCTTGTTATACCCACTGCACTCTGCAACCAGTGTTGCCTGCCTCATGGCAGTAGAATCAGCTCCTTTACAAAAAAAAAAAAAAAAAAAACCAGCAGCAACAAAACAGAGCCCATCCATGTCAGCCACACCAATAGTTTCATGTTAATTCTTTGCCACTGGAGTTAATTTTGCTATGAGCAATGTAAGGCTGGTACCCTTTAAATTATTTGGTTGATGTGGAAAATTGGTGATGTAACACTGTTCCTAGGTTTTTTTCATTGCCTTTTTATTCTGACACTAGGTTAATCACTTTGAAGCTATAGTTATGCTGTAACATTTAGCATGGCTTCACACCAAGTTAGTGTAGCCAATGAGGAAAAAGTTACCATAATGACAGCAGTTGTCCGAGAAGTGACAGCTGTATTACTCAGAGCTTTTACTTCTTACACCTAGAATATTAAAATATTAAACAAGGGGAGAAATGTGACAAGCAGGCTGTTTTCAGTTGCACATATGTTCCTTATATATAATGTTTGACAGTTCAATCTCTGGGTGGGATAAAGAACACTTAAGTATCAGTAATGGGAATTTTAAAAGATTTAAAACAAATATGCAAAAATGTGCTATGCCAAGATGCTGGAGCATAATAGAAGACTGTATTTGGTGTGCTTGTTTTATTTCTTTGGTAGACTATTAGGTGAATCTTCTAAAACTTTCCTTCTGCTAGATCCCAGTGACATGAAAGTCATCAGAACCCCATGGTACTTGGAGTACCTCTGTGCACCAAGATAGCTGGCTGATTTTCTGCTCAGTCACAATTTTACTTGAAAGCAAGAATTGTCCTAGCTCCTTTTCCATTATTCCAGAAAGTCTAACATTCAAAGCAGGGTCTAATTAAAAAAGAAACTACTGGTTAGTTAATATAATTGAGATACCACAATTTCAGAATAAACATTTGATTAAAAATAAAAAAAATAAAAAAATATAATAAATATTGGAAGTCAGAGATCATATTTTTTCACCTTTGCATCCCTTGCCTGTAAGCACTATGTACATAAGAAAATAAATATTAATTGAAAAAGAAAATAAATACATGAATACATGACTTCCCCATTTACTTTTACTATCTTAAATTTTTATCACAATATCAGACCTCAGTGCCCTCCACTGTACTTGAAAGGAATTTCCAAATTGAGCAGCTCATAATCTTGAAAACCTGGTAAATGTACAGATTTCTTGGCCCCACTCAGTAAGAATTTGATTTAGTATGAGTAGGATAGAACCTATGGATGTATATATTTTATAAGCTCCCTGGGAGATTGACCACTTGTCTGGTTCAGAAACCATTCTCCTAAGCTTTCTTCCAACTCTTACATTGTATGATGCTTAGCTTAGCTGAATCTCACTCAAAATACATGTTAAGGTTTTAGAAACTGAATAACTCATTGGTTTTTAGAAGTGGGCTCAACTGATTAATATGAAAATTAGAAATCCATATGGTCTTCTCTTTTCATAACTTCTTACTGTAATATGTTCTTATATCAAGGAGGGGTGGTTAACTCTAAAAGTCTCAGGCATACTTTGAATTTTTTTCAAAAAACCTTTTTACAGATAGAATTATGTATTCCACTTAATGAGCTCTGCATAAATTATTATCAGGATAAAAATAGCTCTAAAAATCCTGCAGCTTTGTTATGAAAAAGGAAGAACAGTCTGAGTAATAAGATGATTATTTAGATGACTGGAATCACCAATGGTTTATTTTTCTCCTAAAAAAAATAAGTCCAGAGATTCAGACATTTTCCAAGTTTCAGGATTTGGAAGTCTGCATCCTACAAAGCATACGTTTCCTTTGACACATGATTCATAACAAAGGGTTTTTATGAATCATGGCAAGCTGTGACCCAATTGTTGTTTCCCCAACTTTATAATTATTTACCTTTCTAAGCTAAAATAACTAATCATATTTGAACAGAGTAGAAGGCAAAGGAGTATAAGTTCTGTGTTCTTTACTAGCAGTAAAACTAAGTCATTGCAACAGAGTTTTAAGATAGCTTTCACCTGAAAGAGATCATCTAAGGTCAAACAGCAAGCATGTCAGAATTGAAAGGAAAGGTAAAAACAAATGTATATTATTATCTACTTTAAACTTAGAGTAACAGTTTCTTAAATGTACGTAATTCAGAAATTATAAACGAACCACTCTAAAATATGTGGCTGGTATTCTCTATCACAGTCTCTTGGTTTTCTTCATACAATTATTACAACTTATAACTACTTTATATATTTTCTGTTTTTTTTTTCCCTAACTTTTCCACTATAAATGAACTTCTTTAAAGCAGAGAAAATTATTTTTGTTTTTCCCCTGGCATTAAGAATAGCACTTGACACATGATAGCTATTTAAGAAATATTTGTTGAAATAAGGCACACAAGCTTTTTTGAATACAGCTATGTTCCCAGTATTATACTAGGCTGACTGATATATTTTGTTATGTTAATGACTTTGTGATATAGGGATTAGCTTGATTTTACAGGAATGGAAATTACAGTTCAGAAGGATCTTGTCTAAAATCTCTTGACTTCCAGTCCAGTGCTCTTCCCACTAAGTAACACTCCTCATAAGAAAAGTTGATGTATGAGCTGTATCTCAAAATCCCAAAGGACTTTTCAAAGCACTTTTCTCCAATTCTTGTGAATCCACTCTCCATTTTTAACCTAAGAGCCAACAGTGTTTCAAGCCAACACAATACCATAAAACGTTAACTGAAACAGATTATAATACAGTTTGTTCATTTTTATTGAACCACAAAATAACAATAGATAATATGAATATAAAAGCCATAGGAAAACAAAACTCTTTAATTTTATAAACCAGGTAACTTTTTACATTCGTTCTGAAGCCCTGGCTAAGATTCTGTTGAGGAGTGTGGCCTACTATGTCAAACCCTGAGTAAAATCCTTTACTCCTTGGCCCTCCTAAGAGATTTGTTTGTTTTATTTTACTTTAGGTTCTGGGGTACATGTGCAGATCATGCAGGATGATTGAATAGGTACATACATGGCAAGGTGGTTCGCTGCCTTCATCCTCCCATCACCTGTATCTGGTATTTCTCCCCCCATTATCCTTCCTCGCCCTCCCCAGCCCCCTCCCTCCCCACTGCCACCCCCTACCAAGAGTTTTACAAGTTCCTTGGGCTATATTCACCCTAGTCACCCTTGAATTGGTTTGTAGCTTCCACCTGAAAACTCAGAGTGAGAAACCAACAAATTAAAATTGAATAAAGTTTTAAAAAATCATATTAAACATTTCTCAGCCACTCCTAGCAATTTTCTCTGCTCTACTAGGGTTTCTCTTGTATCTCACCTCCTCTGCTTCCCTTTACTCAAACGTTCCTATTAATGTCTCATTTAGAGTTTATACCTTCTATTGGTTGACATAGTTTGGATATGTGTCTCCTTCAAATCACATGTTGAAATATGACCTGCAATGTTGGAGGTGGGGTCTGGTGGGAGGTGTCAAATAAACCTCTTACTTCTCAAGTAGACTATTCTTAGAAGAAACCTGATGACAGTCAACAAAAATAGTCATGTCTCATCCCACTATAACCACTACCTTTTACTCACTATCCTTAAAAGCTTCCAGCCACAGTCCCCGCAGAAGAAAAATAACAGACTTGCATAATCCAACTCTACCCTACCTGGACAGCCTCAGTTTCTCAATGCACACAGATGAAACAGAGAGGGCCCTGGTCTAGAAATCAGAGCACCTAGGCTTGGCTCCTTCATACATAAAATAAAGGTTTCTAATATCCTCTTCCTTCTATTTATCTGTATCCTTCAAACACACATTGCTCCAGCCACATAAAGCTATTTAACATTTCACTAATACATTTACAGTTCACAAGTCTGAAACTGTTCATACTATTTCACCACCCTGGAATGTTTTGTATCCCAACTTCTATTAAAAGTTTGCCTCACTCTTGAAAATTCAACTTCTATAATATCATTGTTTTCTTCCAAACCTTTCCCAAATCCCTACAGTGCTAACTTATTCTTTTATGTGCAATTATCCACAATGCTATTATTTCATTCTAGCAATATTCATTGTGCAACTTGCTATTTGTTAATATTTATGTGAGTTGCTCCATAGAGAATATAGGAACCCTGTAGATAAGGACAATCCTTTACTCAGTTCTCTTTCCCACATATGACTGAACTCATAATTGCAGCTGGGAAGCATTTGATTCTTAAAGCAAGTCATAATACAGACAGGGTTATCCTGAAGCAAAGTTGTGGCCTTCCCAATCTTCACATCTTGACCTCCAGAAATTCTACCCCTTAGGTTATTTAAAGATAAAATATTTGGTTCAATCACCTCAATGGCTTCAAGTACACTGCAATTGCAAGTGATTTCCTAGAAATTCCACATTAAAGGCTGGGCCTGTTAATTGAATAAAGAAAAGTACTTTCTGCCAAACTATGCCACTGACTGTTCACCCATTCTGAAAAACATAAATTCTTATTTATTTCTGTTCACTTTCCTTCATTCAAAATTCCCTTTCATAAACTTTAGTAGATAGAATAAAAATTAGGGAGTATTTAATTTGGATGACCTTTTGAGAGGGCATAACTATAGGCAGTTTTTAAATAGCCTTGTGAGCTGGGTGCAGTGGCTCATGCCTGTAATCCCAGCACTGTGGTCGGCCAAGGCAGGTGGATCACTTGAGGTCAGGAGTTCAAGACCAGCCTGGCCAACGTGGTGAAACCCCTTCTGTACTAAAAATACAAAAATTAGCCAGGCATGGTGGTGCATGCCTGTAATCCCAGCTATCAGGAGGCTAAGGCAGGAGAATTGCTTGAATCCAGGAGGCAGAGGTTGCAGTGAGCCAAAATCACACCACTGCACTCTAGCCTGGTGTGACAGACCAAGACTCCATCTTAAACAAACAAAACAGCCTTGTCCTAAATAGGGCCTCAGGAGACCACCTAATTTAAGGGATGCACTCTACTACTCTGTCTATGGCAGAGATACTATTCTGAGTTCAAGATAATATTTTCTCTGTTAGCAGCACACAGAAAGATAACATCTCCCAGGCTCCGTTGTGGT